CCTCTGCTGAGGGCCATCCGATCCCTGTATGACCGGAGCCAGAGCTGTGTTCGCATTGCCGGCAGTAAGTCAGACCTGTTCCCGGTGAATGTTGGCCTCCGACAGGGCTGCCCTTTGTCGCCGGTTCTGTTCACTGTATTTATGGACAGAATATCTAGGCGCAGCCAGGGGTCGGAGGGGGTCCGGTTCGGAGACCACAGGATTTCATCTCTGCTGTTTGCGGACGATGTTGTCCTGTTGGCTCCAACGAACCAGGACCTGCAGCATGCACTGGGACGGTTTGCAGCCGAGTGTGAAGCGGCTGGGATGAGAATCAGCACCTCCAAATCCGAGGCCATGGTGCTCGACCGGAAAAAGGTGCCTTGCCCTCTTCAGGTGGGTGGAGAGGTCCTTCCTCAAGTGGAGGAGTTCAAGTATCTCGGGGTCTTGTTCACGAGTGAGGGAAGGATGGAGCGTGAGATTGACAGGCGGATCGGTGCAGCGTGCGCAGTGATGCGGTCGCTGTATCGGACCGTTGTGGTAAAGAGGGAGCTGAGCCGAAAGGCAAAGCTCTCGATTTACCGGTCAATCCTCGTTCCCTCCCTCACCTATGGTCACGAGCTTTGGGTAATGACCGAAAGAACGAGATCGCGGATACAAGCGGTCGAAATGAGCTTCCTCCGCAGAGTGGCTGGGCGCTCCCTTAGAGATAGGGTGAGGAGCTCAGTCACACGGGAGGAGCTCGGAGTAGAGCCGCTGCTTCTCCACGTCGAGAGGAACCAGTTGAGGTGGCTTGGGCATCTGTTCCGGATGCCTCCTGGACGCCTCCCTGGGGAGGTGTTCCGGGCACGTCCCACCGGGAGGAGGCCCCGCGGAAGACCTAGGACACGCTGGAGGGACTATGTCTCTCAGCTTGCCTGGGAACGCCTTGGGGTACCCCCAGACGAGCTGGAGGAAGTGTGTGTGGATAGGGAAGTCTGGGTGTCTCTGCTTAGACTGCTGCCCCCGCGACCCGGCAACGGATAAAGCGGAAGAAAATGGATGGATCATGTACAACATCATATGACCACAAGTATAACATGTTACAGTTACATTTGTTTAAAGTCAGAAGAAAACTTTTGTGTCTAGTTCAGAGGACTAACGCAGTCTGTAACCGTATTTTTAATTTGTACGCACAGAATTTGACAGCTGCAGCAGCTCTCAGACCTACAACAAAGAGATTTGATATCTATGCAATCACATTTCAGCAGTCATGAGTTCAGGGGGTTAGTAAAGTGTATAAAGTGTTTGGTGAGTGAGGTGGTAAGTTTTGCAGCCTTAGAACGCATTGCTGTACAGATTTTTCTAATTGTTGGTTATTTTAAGCACGTAACCCCTGTGATTTACAAGGGGCCACTAGAGACTACAGTGCTCAAATAAGTCACCTGTGATGATTGGAACACTCTACAACTCTCCGGGCTTTACGTCTATGTAGGGAGGATTTCCGTAGTTGTGTGCTGCGAAGCCTGTGCAGAGTAATCTAGTTCAAAGCCTTGCGCAGCATCCGTTATCAACTTTGTAAAGTACTCCTGAAATGACTTCAGTTGTTATTTGCGCTTGAGGAAGAAGGTTCTGAGTTTGATGCCACCTCACTTGGCATGAAATTCTCCGTTCTTAAAATAACCCATTATTCTCTTTTTTTCAAATACTTGTTGGATACAAACAATGCCGAGGCAGACCACCCTCTTTACCTATTGCTTTGGCCAGTTAGTGCATCATTTACAATAGTGTAACATTTGAATTTCTTGATATGTGCTGACAGAGCAGAAACACTTCTTTATGTCAGCTCAATTCGTCATTTAATGGAACTTCTGGTAAACAACAATATATATGCTAGAAATTATAATGTGTATATTCAAGGTCTGTAAAATCAATTTCCGAGAAAAACTAACATAATCTTTACCAAAAGGATCAATGTTAATGTTGTCATTATTGCACACTGCATACAGTAAACAGAACCGATTGCTTTACTGTCATCACCATCATTAATTCCAAACCAAATTGAAACCAGTCGTTGTGGCACAAAGACGTTAGGTTGCTCCAATTACACTCAGTATCATTTGCTGTGGTTACTCGGTCATGTATCTTTCCATCCTGTCAGTAAACTGTACTTGTACTTGTGTAACATGACAAGTTTGCATCCATCTGCACACATCATCGTCTGTACAGGTATGTTTTTGTAAAGTGCACTATTGCTTTTCATCTCTTTCTAAGGAAGGTGGTTTATGGATACGATTGGCTGTATGTCATTTTATTTCAACTTAATGGTTGAACGTTTTAGCCTTTTGTAAGTCTTTAGCCTCAAGACGCAAGTTTAAGAAAACAGCTAGTATTTGTTCAACTGTCAAGGAATCTTTACAAACTGTCTGGTCACTTACAAAATGTGATGAGCAGTGCTGGGATACAACTATCCAGTAATCTATGGCCACACTTCCATGTCCTCCATTGCATTACCACACACAAACAGGTGCTGTTTTCTTCCTCACGTCCAAAGGCTGGGTTATACTGCTGCGTCAAGCTTCTAAAGTCTAGACGCAGTGTGTTCAAAGACATGCAGAAAAATGCAAAAAATGTAGATGAATATGGTGTTTATAAGAAATGCCTAACCAGCCTACTCAACAGCTTTCAGATATTCACAACTGTAGCCATTTCTGAGATGTAGACTTGGTTCCTCACTGATGAAAGATTTGACCTATTGTAGCCAGTTTCAGCCCCTCACAATTTGGCTTAGTCAGAATTATAAAGCTCCAATGATGACTTGGTCCACCAGTCCTGACTTTTTAGGCTAATACCCGTCGAGAGAAATCCCTGCAACTGATATTGTGTGTGGGAGGATAACAAATGAATGTTATTAGTGTGGGAGCAAGAGAGTGTCATGGCTTTGGAGGACAGAATAGCCGTAATACCAGGTCATTTGGACGCACAGCTATAAGACTCCAGCAAGATGAAAGCCTTGCATAATTACCTGAGTCACATCACTTGGAACTTCCAGTCAGTTTGCTCAATTAGTTTGCAGAGCCGTGGAGAGCCTATAGAAGTCCATCGCACTAATGACCATAATCAATCATGTATTACATACAGCGTCAAATACTGGCCATGCTTTGATTCCCCTGTCATATACTTTAAGAGGATTTCACAGAAAGATGCAATTGACTGGAAGCTGGGAAGTAAAGACCAAATTTAGCAACAAGATTTAATAGCTATATGATTTGTTACTACATATTTCTTTGCCCAGGGACGTGAAAGTTGTAATTGAAATTAGAGGACATTGAGACATCTTTGGTGTAGAATTAAAAAATAATTTTAGTGGAGGTTTGTTGGAGTTTGAGAGTTAGAAACGAATGACGAAATATCAGCTTACACCCACAATCGAGTGCTATATGCCATAAAATACAAACAGATTGTTGAAGTTGTAACGTTTTGCAGGAGAGGCCAAATCCCAGAGCTCTTCTGGGATTTCCCAGAGACTGACCCTAATGACGGTTTGAAATATTTATACTCTGACACTTGTTTTGCTGTCCAGCCTGGTGAGCATACCAAAGTGAGGGTGCTCACACATCTCGGAATAACCAATAGAAAACATGGGTTTTTGAAATGTACCCTCTCTCACCTCATAACACAGCTTGAGTGACAAAATAAGAATTTCCATAAAATAATCTTTAGTTATCATCAACAAGATGGGATTAGAAGAGGGGTTGATGAAGGATGTTGGTTCTCACTGTACGTTTACATTTGTACTCATTGTACTACTGTGCTCCATGGGCTATATCCTTTACTTTTTTTAAATTAGTTTAAATAAACCAACGACTAATTGTTGCCTCTAGTGACTTTATACCAGGGACCCTGATAAATTGTGTCGCAAATAGGGGGTCTCACATACCCCCTTCTCCTCTTTGGCTGCCAGTGTCCTACAGGATCAACTGTAAAAAAAAATATGGTCCTAAATTTCAAAGCTTTGCATGTGGCTCTGCAGTTAATTGGTACAATCAATAAATTAAGGTTTAGAGATCCTTTAGTGTGGAAATATCAGTGTTGCATCACTGATTACTGAACAGAAGGAATGAGGAGCACAACAAAGACAAATGAACAATAACTCAATACTAAATAAAATTAAATCAAATTGGAATCTAAAAGGCACAAGTATGTTAGATAAGTGATCAATAGAGAGAATCAGACATTTAAGAGTTGCATTACAAAAGGCAGGCAGGTTTTATTTTGTATTGTCTATGGACATGTATTAACAGTGGTCATTCGCGCCCTATGGAAGTATACTCCTTCCTCCTCAACACGAAGAGTCATTGCGTTTAGCAGGTATAACAGAGATTTGCATTTTTTTACCATGTGTGGCTCTTTCCGAGAATCTTGATTCAACACCCTTGTTTGTTTAAGATTTTGCAATGTAAAATCACCTCTAGGACTATAAAACCCTTTACTTCAAATACGGGGCACACTATTCACCACCCAGCAAGCAATGGTATAAGTGTACACTGCCTCATGATGAAAAAACTTACACTTATCGTACTTCTGCTTCTAGGTAAGTCCTGTTCTTTCATGACAATTGTATGTATTGACAATTATTTTCCTTACACTAAACCTCTTTGTCTTAGCTGTATGTACACTTTCAAATGGAGCGGCTCGAGAATACCACTACTTCCCACAGTTGAAAACTTGGGCCGAAGCTCGAAAATTCTGTCGAGAAAATTATGTTGACCTGGCCATCATTGACACCGAAGAAGAGTACTTAAAAGTGACTCAAATTGTTCAAAAGTTCCAACTTGATTCATGGATCGGACTGTACAATGACTATACCGGCTGGAGATGGGCCTTAGATGGCAAATACTTTAATCAAGACATAAACACTCATTTTGGCAACTGGTGGACATTTTATACTGAGAACCTACATACTGAACAATGTGCAGAAATATATCAGTTTAAGCTACAAGATTCAAGTTGTGACCGTCAAGTTTATAGAGTGTGTTTTGATGGTGAGATACCTTTAATTATGCCCTGTTATTGGGATATTTTTGCTAATCTTTACATATCTATCTTTACAGAAAAAACAAACTCCTACGTGGCATATAAAAATCGCATGGATTGGAATAGTTCCCAGATATTCTGCAGGTTACACCACACCGATTTAGCCAGTATTCGAAATGAACAAGAAAAAAACGCAATACTTGCAAAGATAACTTCAGATTCCTACTGGGTTGGATTGTCCAGGGAATCGTGGAAGTGGTCAGACCAAACCCCATTTTTGTTGAAGAAATGGGCTGAAGGAGAAGGTGCCTCTTTTCTGTCTCATTTCTGTGCCAGCGTATATAATGGATACATAGATAACCTCTGTACAGACACAAAACCATTCATATGTTCAGGTAAGTTATTTCATATATGTATTTCAATCTATTTTAATGAAACATACAATTGACAATGGGATAAAATTGTATTGTAAAGAGGGGTGAATAAAGACCTACAGTATAGAACATATACTTCTGGAAGTTTTAAAGAAGAAATATTATGCATTACAAGACCACTTTGTTGAAAATATATGGTGAAAATAACGTAAAATAAGGTAACTCCCTGTTCCAACCAGAGGAAGTAATTATTACATCCAGTAAATTATTGGATGTTAACTCAAGAGGGGCGGAGTTACATGTTCGTACCTTATATTTATGAGAATTGACCTAAAATGGACAATGCACAATGCTGTAACAAGTTAAATGCTAAAAAATAGTCAATTTTGCGTAATACATCTACATCCTAAACAATATTGTATAGTGGCCATAATCATGTGTGAACTTGTTATTGTTCTGATAGTTCCAATGATGAAGATATTCAAACTCAAAATGGTGACGACGCTGAATCTGGACAACCAGGCTGCACAGGCTATTCTTCTACAAAATGTAAGTTGATTTTTTTTGTCTTCATCCTGTTGTGGAATTTCTGTCCAGACCGAGAGCAAAAAACCATGAAAAAAATGAAGAGCTATACAATCAAAGAGTGAGTTAATCCCTAGTAAATTTAATTATATTAAATTCAATGTAATTTTGTATAGACCTAAATCACAGTTTGACTGGGTTCTATGAAATAAAGTGATGGCGCAGCCAAAGTACTTTTCAAGGTTTTATTCCCAAAAAAGAATAAGTGATGAAGAGTAGTGGAAACAAAACTGTAATTAGAAAACATATTTACAGTATTTACAGAAAATAAAAGAACATTTCAGGTCCCCTGTCCCAGTTCAGACTCACACTGACACTACATTAAAGGCTGGCCTGCTCTTAAACCCCTCTGGCTCCTTCCACATGTCAATGAACTCATAAAAGTACAGTTTCTACATAAACTGAAGGTACATTCATGACTCAAAAATATGGATGAATCCACAATAAACAACTCCCTGCTATAGAGTTATCCTCTGCACCTGTATGACAACAGAGGAAAAATAATTGAATACATTTTCCAACAAAACTGAAAAATAAGATGACGTCATCAATTACGTCAGATGCAGACGTACGCGCAAGAAGCTAAAAACAGAAAGCGCCATGGGTGCCGGGTTGGATCGAGTTTGTTTAGGAGATGGATACTTGATGGAAAATTCATGGAGTGCAAAACTATGGACGGGAATGATTAACTAGAGGCCTAGTGTGCACCCAAGACAACTGGGATGAATGAATGAATGGAGGACGGAAACGGAGCGGACTGACAAGGGACGGGATCGACAAACAGGTAAGTGAGTTGCGAGGTATGTATGTATGTATGTGTGTGTATGCAGGGTGAGTGCGTGCGGACGGGAGAGTCTGCTCTGGGCTTTGACAGAAGCTGCTCCGTCACACACATTGATAGTTATCTCGGAGGACTTAACGAAACTGTTGAATTTGCCAACACAGATCAGATAATTAAACAGTTCAAACACAAGAAATGCAATGATACAAACAAAAAAAAACAACAGACCCAGTGGTCCATAAGGGGCAGATGACCAGTGTCCATAAATGTGGTGATGATACAATGAAAAAGTCACCCAAACTGCTATACACATAGCAGTCTGGAGGATTTTACCTAGTTACTTACTGGTAGGGGAAACCGGAGCACCCGGAGGAAACCTACACAGACACGGAGAGAACATGCAAACTCCACTCAGAAAGGCCCTGTTCCGACCGGGATTTGAACCCAGGACCTTCTTGCTGAGAGGCGAGAGTACTCAGCCACCGTGCCACTTCTTATTACATTTGATGTTAATTGAGATTTCTACAACAATCCTTTTTTGAATTATTTTTTATAAAAAAAAAATGATCTTGATTGTTTTGTTTTCTGTTTTAGTTGGAGAAAAAATTGAAAGAGAATGGGATTCAACAGAATTTCACTTTGCGGTGGAGAAAAGCAGCCAATGGAAAAACCTTCAACAAAGAGAGTTGTCCAAATCCCTAAGAAACAGTGAAGAAGTCGTGTTCGTGACTGAGTTTAACCTATGTAAGTCTACGCCGGTCAGAAATTAACGCTGATTCTACCAGATTTGAATTAATGTATAAACTTTTTTTTCCATTCACACACAGCTTACGCCCCTTGACAATCCGACCATGACCATCACCAACCAATAACTCAGGGAGCACATTCAAATTTGTTATGGAAACCGGTGCACCTGGGGGAAACCTTCACAAATGCAAGAAGAACAAGCAAACTCCATGCTGAAAGACCTAGCGGCAGTGATGGGCAAGCTACTTGATTTGTGTAGTGAGCTAAGCTACAAGCTACTCTACAATAAATTCAGCTTCACTACACAGAAGCTACCACCCATACAAATGTAGCAAGCTAAGTTACAAAATTCTGTCAAAAGTAGCTTGCTATATAGAAGCTATTTTCAATTAAACAAACTGCAGTTCATGCAATTTTATATTTTCTTGCATTAACATGTTTGCTCATTTCTTATTTTTTGCACAATTCTTGAGTGTTTTATCCATGCCAAATGTGACATGTAAATTTCTCCTGTGTGAGATTAATAAAGCTTATCTTCTTATTTGAGATAAACTGTCAGTCAGATAAAGGTTAACATTTTGTAGATATTTATTGAACAATAGCCCAAAACACCAAAAACAACAAAGAGTAGGCATCTGAAAACATATTTCTTTTCGCTCATCTCGACTAGAGTGACGTACTTTTGGAGGTATGGCCACGGTACAACACTTTGAGAGTCCTTATCATGGTCCTCCTCCACCGCGGCGGCTCCTGGGCTCTCTGCCATGCTTTTGCTCCCCCCAGTAGCACGCGCGCATGTGTGTGCGTGTGTGTGTGCGCGTACGTTCGTGTGTGTGTGTCGTTACCAAGCCCTGCGCATGCGCATCAGCATTCTGTCTTTCTTTGCTTTATGCTGCGGGAAAATGCTGTAATATATGAACATCAGAGATGTCCGTGAGAAAATAGCTTTGGCGGACGCTACCGCGCTACTTGAGCAATAATATAGCTTAGCTACAGAAAAGTTACTAGGTTTTGTAAATATTGACGCTACTGTCAAGCTACTGAAAAATGTAGTTAAGCTAGTAGCGACGCTACTTGTAGCGACGCTACTGCCCATCACTGCCTAGCGGTGCCAAAAAGTCAAATCTAGTTCCTTATTTGAGGCAATAGCTCTACCATGTCGCTCATAAAATGCATGAAAAAACAAAACGCTAGTGGTATTTTTGAGTTTTTATGCTGACACACCCCGCTAAGCTGCTTGTTCATGGTCAAATGCAAATGAATTCCTTTAATACAATGCTTTTAATCAACACATTTGAGGGACATTGTATAAACAGTATGTGGTAAAAATGATTAATATCCAACACTTGCAGCCCAATTACTTTGTTGCTTAAATATAAAAATCTTAATTGTAATACTAGATGAAGAAAGAGCATGTTCCATGATCTTGTTGGAGAGCTGCTTTCTTTGAAGACACCAGTGGACTCTGTGCGGGAGCTAAACACAGTGAGGCTAATATGTGCAGACACAGAGTGGGTCCCAAAGTGACTCTTGCAGCAACAGATCAATCAGCAGCGGCTGAGCAGACAAGCTCCACATGCCTCCATTGTGATACCATTATCTTCCATTTAGAGAGGAAAAGTCATATTGATTCACACCATTATGTCACTGCAGATTTGGCCTTATTCTTCTTCTCCAACTCCTCAGATTGCCCAAGAGGTAAAGCTGAGGGCTAGTGACCTGAGTGCAATAGGCCTGTAACTGTGTCTACAGCAGTGTTTTTCAACCACTGTGCCGCGGCACACTAGTGTGCCGTATGATATTGTCTGGTGTGCCGTGAGAAATTCGTCTACTTTGTCTAAAAATAACTGCATTCGCTGTTGACGAGCGGTGACTTGTTTTGAACTGTGGAGTAACCATGTAATACTTTTTCAAATCAGTAGATGGCAGCAGATAGCTAAGTACTTTGAAACTGAAAAATTGGATGCGACCACTGGCTGTAACAGGTCAGCATTGTGGCGAGAAAGGTAAAATTGGATGCGACCAACAAATTTGGCAGGGAGCGAGACAAGAGCTTTGTGGCGAGTGAGAAGTGAAAGTGATAGAGACGTTTTTGAAAATGAATTATGCCGTTTCTGAACAGGATTAACATCCTCCGCTCTGCCCCGGGGCAGCTGTGGCCGCGTTGTAGTGGTTTAACTATGAAATGTACAATCGCGAACGCACTTCTGAACTGGGTACCGAGCGCAGACCATAGTCGAGTGGACAGAACCACAGACATGCGGACCGGACAGAACCATAGACATGCGGACCGGACAGAACCATAGACATGCGGACCGGACAGAACCATGGACTCGCGTTCAGGACCTCCCGTGTCCCTCATCCAAAACTCCTGAATTTAAAGCTCGGATACCTAAATTTTTCCCATGCACTAACAATGCATGTTCTTTGTGTGAGTTATTATTTGACTATTTGGGCAGAGAGTGGATTTTCTTAGTTTTTTTCCACACAGTTAGTGCCACTTTATTACCAAACTCTTGTTAATTGTATCAAGAAATATTAAATAAAGCTTAATGTCAAGGCCTGGACTTAAGCATTTTGATGAGAATAACTGTATATTGTGAATATAGGCTACAGAGTATACTGTATACATTATAAGATAAGATAAGATATACTTTATATATCACACAGAGTATGTACAGTATATATTTTTACATTAGTACTGTATACATTTTTACATTTTCTCCTGGAGGTGTGCCGCAAGATTTTTTCAGTGAAAAAAGTGTGCCTTGGCTCAAAAAAGGTTGAAAAACACTGGTCTACAGCATCGATGTTTTACCTGGCTGCAAATTGGAATACAAAGGTTTCATATCATACATGATTTTGTCTTTTCATCCAAATGATTATGAATGCATGTCTCTCTCAATACTCAAGCTGACCTGTTGTGGATGACGTTAAGAACTATTTCTTGAGGCATCTATCTTTTTTAAAACGTTTTTTTTTAGCAATTGGACATTTTTGGCGCAGCAGAGAACATTTATGTATGTAAGAACAGGCTTAAGACACATTTTTTTAGGTTAGCTTTTGATTGGTATTTTTTTATTATTAGATTTTACATATTTTATTTATCTTTTATGGTATTTACTTTTGTGTTGTGTTGTGTGTTTTTTGCGTTCTAGTGCGTGTTTTTCGCACGCTAGTGTGTTTTTTTTAGTTCTAGTGTGTGTTTTTTGAGTTCTAGTGTGTGTTTTTTGAGTTCTATTGTGTTTTTTTAGGTTCAGTGTGTGTTTTTTTAGGTTCAGGGTGTGTTTTTTTAGGTCTAGTGTGTGTTTTTTGAGTTCTAATGTGTGTTTTTTCGAGTTCCAGTGTGTGTTTTTTGAGTTCTAGTGTATTTTTTGAAGTTCTAGTGTGTTTATTGAGTTCTAGTGTGTTTATTGAGTTCTAGTGTGTTTTTTGAGTTCTAGTGTGTTTTTTGAGTTCTAGTGTGTGTTTTTTTACGTGCTAGTGTGTGTTTTTTGCGTTATTATCATTTCATATTGTTTTATTATTGTGCTTCAGTTCTTAGTCGAATATTTCAATAATTTACTTTTTAGTGTATTATTTTAGTATCTCCAATGTTTCCTCTGAAGAAGTTCCCTCTGCAATGGGAGCAGTGGTCGGCTGTGGCTATGGAGGTCTGGCTCTTGGACCTGGTGGAGGTCTGGCTCTTGGACCTGGTGGAGGTCTGGAGCCTCTTCTCTCCTCTGGGTCCTGTGTCCTCCCCTGTGGCTGCAGGTGGCTTTCTGCTCCTGGTGAAGACAGCTCCTTTGATGGTATTTCCTCAGCTGGCTACTCGACACCTAGCCTTATTTCTTTTCTTGGTTGTACCCATTGTAATAATTTGATGACTATGTGTGGGTGTGTTTGTGTATACTTAATAAAACTTGTGGGTTGCTCTATTTGGTGGTCGGGTGGAGGAGTCATGGGCATGTGGGATTGTTTTAAAACGTTGTGTAAAGCACTTTGTGTTGCATTTAAATTTGATTGATTGATTGACATTACAAACACACATTCTATCATCTCTCATACCTTGCAACTATTGGTCAATTTAAAAAACTTTTATTTAATTATAAGAATTATAATTTCAATACAAAATATGAATGTAATGTTCCCTGTGCTCAGCAGAAGTAACCTTTTTGATACATTCATGAATTCTGAAGATTGTAAAGTGCTTTGGGTGGCCTAAGTTTGTAAAAATGTGCTATAGAAATAAAGATCACTCACTTACTTATATGTCAGAGAGATTCCTTTCAACCACATCATCTTCTTTTATGTATATATCTGTGTGGATATGGGTAAATCTCATTTTTTTCAGGTTCAGGTCATAGTAGGAATTATTGCGCTTTTAAGAGCTCTGCAAAAATGCAATAATTTATTTACAAAGTTTGAGTTATAAGAGAAAGTTGCAAGACACCTTTGAAAGCGTCCAAACTGGAGCCTTGAGCGGCTTCTCCACAAGGCGCACACAGACGGGGCCAAAACGACAGACCTGTTTGAAAATCCCATCGAATTGAGAGCAGTTTTTGAACAGCTTGATTTTACTATGTTTTATTTTTTTCTGTTGTGTTTTTGCTGTGTATCCTTTAACTTCATCATCTTGGCACAATATAGATAAAGGTTAACATACTTACTTCTTGTTCAAGTTCTACTTCAAGTCATTTTGAACTGTTCCAAAGAGAGTTTATTCTGAGGTTTTCTTTGCTGTAGAAAGAATAGCATTCAGTGGGAGGTTGAGGTTATGCTGTGCTGGCTGTACACTTGGACCAGTAAAAGCCCTTTGTAAGTGGCGAATATTGAACGGTCAACAGCTCAAGTACAAGAATTAGACATTGATTACAAGGCACTGAGAGGGGAACCACTAGGGCCTCTTGCTTCCATACAGACCACTTCAATGGAAAAATTATATGGAGTGGATAACTATACCTTAGCCAACTTTCATGTGCCATTTTCTTCAAGAGCTGACATTTTACACCAGAGTAAATGTGTGGACATAGAATCACCCTTGAGTTTAACACAGATAAGATATGGTGAAACACAAAACATATCTTCTCAAAATGGGGATTTAAGTCATTATTT